TTGAATTATATAAAAATAGTTGTCCAATAGTTTGAATCTTTATTATTGAAAAATATGAGACTGTTTGTATGTTTCTAATACACTTTGATATACACTAAGTAGTTTGCACACATATTAACGACTTTAATTGAAAAACAAAACTAAAAGACTTATACAAAAAAAAAAAAAACCTTAAAATATCGTCGAATTGTTTGCATCAAGTTTAATTATATTCATCCAATTATTTGTCAACAAGTAAAGGGAGGCAAAATTTAACTTTTTCAAAACAAAATAAAAGAAATAAAAGAAATACGCTACTGCCTCAAAATTAGTAGTGATAATCAATAAATTCAAAAATAAAAAAACTAGGTACTTTATGCATTAAATTCCAAACTAACCTGTTATTCAAGTTTGTTCATCAATTCGTTAATCTAGTCAATATAAGTCAAGCTCAATAAAATTTAAATGAAACTGCAAGTAGCGAATGAATATCTTTAAGTTGGACTGTGTAAAGCTTAATGTATTTTTTCATTTATACAAAAAAGTATAACCTTGTCATTTGGTAAATAACCATAATTCATAATTAATGATGATGCGACGATAAAATTGAATTTATTCTCTTCAAATACCGGAAATAAATCAAAGTGTCTATGAACAAATATGTTTATTTGATAATTGTACGATTAATCGTGTAATTCAATGAAAATTGGCTTTATCATTACAAAGGATTTGATATTACGTGTGTAAGCTAATAACACCCATCAAAATTTTAATTTCCAAAGAATTAATTATATTTGTTAATTTCGGAGATAACTTTTAAGATAATGGATCTAGAAAATTATTCATTCAATCGTCATTATCTGTGACAAATTATAACTTTATTAATTAAATGCTTATATGCAGATAATAATATACGTAATATATTTATAATATATCCTGCGACATTTAAAATGTGCTCACTCGATAGATACTGCGAGAAGATACTTTTTGCTATTGCTTTCCGGTTTACGCTGTTTACGAAACGATAATATTCAGTTCTGAATGATAATATGATTTTATCTTCAATTGAGTCTTTAGGTAAATATTATCATTTCATAAATACCGTAATTGTAATTTTCAATGTTCAAAAAAAAAAAAAAAAAAATAATAAATAAATAAAATAAAATAAATAAATAAATAAATAAAAATAAATAAATAAATCAATAAGCCGGAATTTTGAATCATCGACTTAGGTTTGAACCAATATTGTATTGTACTGTAAAATTGCTGTTATTGCTCGAATCATTAGCTTTTGTGAAAGTACATAGATAATTTTCTTGTCAAATATTTATCCTTTCCTATAGCTTAATAACAAATTTTCCTTTCTCCTTTATAGCTATAATGGATTGTTTGTTATTACTTGTCAACACCATTAAAAAGCAGTAATATTATTACAGGAGCTTGCAAGCATTGCTATTATATTTATTCGATCGGTATGTAGCCGTCAATTCGTGGACGACAAATAATTTTCATTTTAAACGATTCGAATTAACTCCTCCTCAAACATTCGATATAAATTTAACGTTGTGGCGGAGGGTAGGGCTGGTGGCCCCCCCCCCCCTGGGGCGGAGGGTGGGAGGGTTGTAATCTAATTTCTAATTAATTATAATTGCTTTGCTTTTATAAGTATAATTATAGGCATTTAGGGTAGACTAGATCCCTGATGAGACGATTACCAGCTCAAAGCGCGAAAAGCATGCAACGACGTGCATTAAAGCTTAATGATTTTCATGACGTTGAGTTGATTTTGTAAACATTCGATTAATAAATTCCAGTGTACGTAACGTAGGTATCGGCATATTGCTGCGATGCCATACAAATAAATATGTGTGATGAAAGCGCGCGCGCGCGCATACGCACAGGGGCGCGGGCGCGGTGGGGAAGGAGAGGGGATTGGAGCTCGGCGCTAAGAAGCTATATAATACAAATAGATGAAATATTCCGGCGAACCTAAATTTATCTTATCTATAATAGAAAATTACGGAATCCCGAACAATCAATCGTATATCAATCGCGCTTATTCTTCGTACACAAATTAAACGCGTAGATGAGTCAGCGAAACGACAAATTTGCTCTTCTTACTCTCCTCGATTACTCGTCATTGGAGTAAACAGGGAGCTGCCGATTACTACGGTGCAGCAGCCGCCGGACAAAAGCCTCGTTATGGCCCTGAAGTCCAGTGGCCAGCTGTACTTTGGAGGATTTCCAAGTGGCTGTTTGTTACTCAACGAAGCTGTCGATGATCGTCGAATAAAAAATCGCGAAGGAGAGGAGTGAAACGGGGTGGGAAGGTGTGTGTGCGTGTGCGTGGAGGGAGGTAGAGCGCGGGAAGATACAGTGTGACAGGGGGAGCCCGTTAAAGAGGGAAAGCCTGGACCAACCGTACGAGAGACCAGGAACGAAAATAACCGCCCACGCGCGCGCATAAACAACATTGGCGCAGCATCTCTCGCGTCCTCGTAAACAGACGTGGCGTGCAAGACAGCGGGACTCTCGATTATTCCCGATCCCCTCTCGGCTCCCTGCAGCCCACGATTCAACGCACCCTGGCCCGAAAGCAGAGGTCCAGAGATAGCGATAGAGATAGCGAAAGAGACAAACAGACAGACAGACAGACAGACAGACAGACAGACAGACAGACAGATAGATAGGGGGGAGGTAGAGATAGAGAGAGAGAGAGAGAGTAAAAAAGAAAGAGAACGAAGGAGAGGAGGAACGCGGCAACGTCCGGGTCCCTCGTGGCCTCGGGCGATCATGCGAAACCAAAGTGCAACTAAAAATACCGGGTCAGGCAGGAAAAGTGGAGCTACGTCGCCGCCTTCTCCTCGACGCCGGCTTCCGACGATCTCTCCAGCTCTTCAGGCAGCAGCCCGGATGAATTCGGAGCCACGAGCGGCTCCTGGCCACGGCCGCTCCTTCGCCTTCTGCCCGGCAACAAAGCGCATCGCGAATCACGCACGCGCGCACGCACGCACGCACGCACTCACCCACGCGCTCGTTCGGGCTGGAGCTGTTGAAGCTGCCGCTATTGCTGCTGCTGTTGCCGAGTCTCTGCTGCGGGCGCACAACGACCGGCGCACCGACGGGTTTACACGATACTAAAAGCGTCGCCGTGCGCACAAGGGGGACTAGCACAAACGCGCTGCCTCCCCTCGATCACTCGCTCTCTCTCGCTCTTTCCCGCTTGTTCTTAGCGCACAGCCACGTCGTGCCGCGCACACGTACGTGAGTGCATATTAAGAGGGTCCGCGCATGCAGTCGCGTGTGCGTGCGCTGGGCTTCATAACGTGCATATCGCACGAGCGGCGGCTGCGATCGGAAGCAGATGCGAGAGAGAGAGAGAGAGAGAGAGAGAGAGAGAGAGAGTGAGCGAGAGCGAGTGAGTGAGGGAGCGAGTGAGGAAGCGACGGTGGAGGGAGGTTGGTTGGTCGGGCGGGAGGGAAAGAAAGGAAGAGCGAGCGAATACGACGGTGGCAAAGGGGCCCGAGAGGGGCAGCAGATGGCTCGGCGAGATCGGCCGAACGCAATCGAGTTTAACCGAGACTGACGGGGCCTCAGGCCTGGATATATAGTTTGTCTTTTGATAAATCGGGGAGGATGAGCTCGAAACCGTGAGTAAGAGAGAGAGAGAGAGAGAGAGAGAGAGAGAGATAGAGATCAAGGTATTGTGTTCTTTTATATATAAAGGCAGATGGAGTAAGCGGCAGCCGAAAAGGATGAGCAAACAATTGCAAAGGAGCCGTTCGCAAGGGCGCAAATCTTTCGCAAATCTACCCTCACCAGACTTGTCCCTCCTGATTAATTAAACTACGATTGACGATTCGACAAAAGCGGATAGCACTTGCCTTTGACAAACACGAATCGTAGTTTCGGCGTTCATCCTTTAAATTCCAGTCTCGCGTTCTAAATCATTCCACGGACCTTCGTACTTTGGTCCGCACTTACAGTATTATTTCTTCCTCGAATTCGATTAGTTTATTCGATTGCTTAAACAAGGTAGCATATTTATTTTTATTTATTTATTTTTTTTTTTTACATTGCGTTTAAATGTGCATGTTATATAATCTATGAAGTATCGTTGTTTAAGGGAGAAATCAGAAGTGATTATGGACAAACAAAATGAGCTTACGAATAGAAAGAAAATTTAAATGTGCAAAATGAAAATTGGGCGAATCGATGAGGCTACAAATTTAAAGACTGTAAGAGACATTTAATTTATTAACGATGTTTTTAGTAATAATATTGCCATGATTTTACGTGCATCGAACGGCGTGTTTAAAATGTAACGGCGGTATGAAGAAATTTTCGAGAAATCGCCCCACTCCTGCAAGCCAACGGACTTTTCGAAAAGCCCAACCAATATTTTCTGATTACAACTTCGACATGAAATCTCGATATGCTGCTGTTACAATTAAGTTACAATTAATGTGCTTGGGAATTAGCCGTGACGAATAGTCCTGGCTCGCACGAGCGAAACGCAGTAATAAATAATAGCCTCCCGTAATAATTAGAGGACAGGGAAAAGCGAGATTAAAGAGACGGGAGGAAAAACGACAGAAGGAGAAGTAACGAAGAGGGACGAGCGGAAACGCGAAGTGGAATTTAGAGTAGAGGCGCGATCACTGGATGTGTGCGTTTGCGTGTGAAACGGCGGTTGGAATTGCGGGATTGGGTGGTTGCAGGGGGAGCAGGGGGGGGGGGAAGAGCCCGTTGTGCCCGATGCAGACAATGCAACCTCTCTTGGTAACTTTTCCCTTTGTCCTCGTGTCCGATGGACCGCCGCGGGCACTCGGCACGCGTCCGTCGCAGACTCGAGCTCCAAGTTAAAAGCTTAGCAAGGTCATTTGCGAATAAGCGTGAATGGTATTCAATGGTCATTGTGGGACGGTGGGTTTATGGCGACTGACCGATGGACCGACCAGCCGACCAAGCGACCGATCGATCGATCGATCGATCATCATTTCATATGAGCACACGGATTCTAGGTTGTAAATAGACTTTAATCAGTGCTGTACACGCGCAATCGGAGATTGACGCGAACGTAATTATATTTACATGACAATATTGTACAGGACTCCTAACGATGACTGGGAGCTCATTTGTAAACTGTCACTGTCTAGGTTGCCCCGTACAGCCTAATATCACAATATCACAATTTGAATGATTAATTAATGCGTGCTACTTTATTGACAAAGTCTTAATATTATCGCCAGCCCCATTCTGGAAAGTCGGAGGAGGTAAAGTTCTTGTAGGTCATTGGCTGTAGCGAAGGTGGCAGATTTGGGTATTTTTTCAATTCTTCTGGCAATGGCCATAAATTTATATTGTTTTCTACAATTTCCTCAGGGTCTACGGTATCCTCAAAATATTGTTTAACAATTTCTTCTGGATCTGGATTGAAGGCATTCTCTTTCATTAACTTTCTTGTTGCGACTGAAAAATTTTAATTTGTTACAGATTAGATCGATAAATTTTACATGGGAAGGGATATTGCAATAATGACACTTTGAATGTCAACGATACCGTAATTTTGTAATTCTTGAATCTTCTCTGGAGTATAGTGAGAATATCTACACGAACCACCAAACGGACATTCTCCTTCTTTAATAAATCTCATACACAACTTTTTGTTTGCTTCTTCTTCTAAAATCTTCTCAGGATCTAAAGTCAATTTAAGGCTTTATAAGGCACATGGGTTTTCAAAAAAATTATGTAACTTGAATGGTATTTAATAATATTTTACCATCAAATGTTTTACTTACCTTTGTAAAAGTTATAATGGTCTTCTCTATTTTTCGTGTGCTGTAAACTAATAAGATGCTTTTTTCTTGCTCCTTGAGCATCCTTGAACGATCGATCACAGTAGTCGCAATAATAACGTTTACCCATTATTAATAACTGGGCTCGTAACCAATTTCTAACCTCGGCGATAAAAAATACAATGTGTTTGTTTGTAATTTGATAATTACCACGCAACTTAAATTTAAATCTGTGCTCTTTAAATTTATTGGCTTCAATAGAATTCAATAGAATTAGTCCCACCTGTAACGTATACCATTGGTTAAATAATAAAATTATAGCAAAACTCACTATTTCTCTAAACCCTTGAGCCGCCTTATCACTTAAAGAACGCTCACTTATAATTCCGAGTTGATTATTATTATTATTGTTGTTATTATTATTATTATTGTTATTATTATTATTAAGCGAATAAGTCGTTAAGGTTATAATGGTCATGAAGTATAGTACTTGTGCTGCTGGTTCAAAGAGTAGAGTAAAAATTGTTTGGTAGTGCGCCATCTATACAAAGCCATCCCAATATCCCACATAACCCGCTAAATTTAATTTAAAATAAGAACAATAAAGCAGCGATTCTGTTTTCATGAATGGCTTAAATGCACATGAAAATTCAAGGAAGTAAAAAGAGATATTTTAAACGAGACGTTTATTTGTTAGGTGATTAGTTTATTTTAAACAAACAGATTACATTGTATTTTTCATTGTATCGCTTAATAGTGTAATTACAATTGCTTGTTACATTTTTAATGTGTTCACTTTCTTTTTCTACAATGTTGTCAGCTCTTAATTTGAGTTAGCACCACGTGCATTACTAATTTCTACATAGGAATGGTGAATTTCTGCTATAGGAATAAAAATTAAAATAAAAAATTAAAAAAAAAAAAAAGAAGAAAACTGTCGTTCGAGGTGAATGATTTTAATAAGTGGTAGTCGACATTTTCACTTTTTCACATACGTCAACTGTATACATACGTCAACTGTATGCATACGTTAAAACTGATCGTTACTGAAACCAACATCTCTATCTCATGTACTTTGGAATACAAAAGAATAAGAAGAAGAAGAAGAAGAAGAAGAAGAAGAAGAAAATAACAAGGTTTTCAAACGTTCGGTATAACTTGGAAACTATTTTAAATTCTGATTCTAGATATTCGTCTATGAGCTCGCATGCGTGGGAGCTTGCATGCATAGGTACACAAGTGTTAATAAATAGAAAAAGGAGGGAAAAAGTCGATAATTGATGAACTTGTGCCTCTCACGGCTTTTTCGCTAATTAATCGTAACCAGAATGACAAACAAAGACAGCAATATTGCGACGTGGTTTTGGTGGTTGATGATTGGTGGCAGGATGTAGGGATAGGGTGGGGGGGGGCAGAGTTTTAATTTATTTATGTTTACTCGACCTGACATTTTTTGCGATAAATAATTAATAACATTTGCAACAGCTCGTTTGTTAACATTCTAAAAGAGCAAAGTGCACGTACTTCCGGGTTCTATAAATATTTCAAATAAGGATTTTGGTGGGTGAGTTTGGAGGCACCGAATTCATAACTAGTAATGATTTTTTTCTTAATTAGTTTATGGAGTATCTGATTGTTCGAGACGACAGAAACGTAAATTGACAATAAAGCCATTTATGTATGTTTTTATAATATCAATAGCTGTAATATAAAATTTTTCACACAAAGGGAATGTACGTTGCAAACACGAGTAAATAAAACTTACAACTTGATATCCGAGTGCAAATAAAAGAATGTGAAAATGGAACAAAGCAATTTGTACATTGGAGCTTTATTAGTTTTATTTAATTTTCTATGAAGTTTTTAGGCCCGCTAAAAACAAGCTCACGACGATTTAATAAATATGTGGAACCGGGCTGAAATTACTTGACGACTGTGAAATTTGTCATTTGAAATGTGCTTTAATATTACGTTCAATTAAAAAAGTAGATCGTACTCTTGAATCGAAAAAAACTTGTTTAATACATAGGTAATTACAAACATCTTAAAACTCGCTTTATAAATATTTGGTAAATAATTAATTAACAATTAACATGCACTTAAATTTTTCTGGTCAAACTCCACGGGCAACGCGTATTTATTTTTATCCACTTAAATAATGCTTTTAATCAGACATGGCTTTAATTATTATTTAAGCTAATCGAATTATTTATATAATAATATAAATTTATAATAACTAAAAACAAAAAAAAACAAAAAAAAAGAAAAACGAGAAAAAATTTAAAATACAAACAAAACACATAATAGTTCTTTTTAAATTAAATAAAAAAGGCATAACTTTTATTTAACGGTATATGGGCGTGCGTGTGCGTGTGTGTGTGCGTGTGTGAATGTGCTCGCGAGCATAAAGCCTGAGGGTGAGGGAGAGGCAGAGGGAGAGGGAGAGAGAGAGAGGGAGAGAGAGAGAGAGAGAGAGAGGGAGAGGGAAAAACACACACGCGCGCGCGCGCGCGCGCACGCACACCGAAACATTTTTCAGCATTTATGGTGTATATACATATTATATATCTGCATACATAATACGCACGCACGCACGCACGCTCTCATATTACGTGCGTGGGCGCGTGCATTACTACGCGTGTTTAAGGATTTACTTACTTATAAGCTAAAATGCCATACATCTTGGGCAGAATATGAATTGCTAAACGATATAGATAAATTGCACAAGGAATTGCACGACAATGATAGCGAGTTCATTGCGTAAAATCGTTGTACGGAACAATAATGTTTGAACTTGCGTGCGGTATGTATACAGGTGCTTCTGTGAATGCTCGTTACTTGCCTTTTTTGATACTTTGGAATACAGATGGACGTACTCGGTAATGAAGTAACGCGCGAGAAAAAGTCATTTCTTCGTGCTCTCTTATTCAGTTGCTTATGAATGGATTTTAAAAGTATATTAATATGCATTTACATTTCATCATTTTGTGACTTTTAAATGGCTTGAGATATTTCGCCAAGATTCATTAAACAAGTAACGGAATGATGATTTTGGTCGTTCGATTCCAAGTGAATTAATTGAAGACGTTGCTCTTCCTCTCTCATTCTCACTTTCTCATTATCTATATCTCCTTCCCCTTCTCCCTCCACTCCCTATCGTCCTTTATCATACCTTTATCATCCTCCTGCATTTCTACATGATATTTTATTTAATGACGCTTAGCCACGATAATTTTGAGGAATTTTAAGTTACTTTATGTAAATTAAAGTGTCTTGCATTTCTCTGCATAATATGTATTACTCGGTAAGCGTATAATTAAAAGTAATGGTAATTTTCGTTTTATCGTCGCAGTTTTATCGGTAGTTGCTTTGTTCATTTAAATTAGCATTTCAAAAATTCAAAAACGATCGTAAGACTTTCAAGTGATTATCATTTGTTACTAACATCCATTTATGGATTTTCAAAATGCCTTGGCATATAGTATACTAGAGAAGGGGGAGGCGACACTCATCGATATCTTGTCACATTGTGTTAATAAAGCTAGCTTGTACAATATCAATTCTATAATTCAATTCCTTAAATTACTTTAAATTACTTAAATTCTTTAAATTTGCATCTTTAATAATTGAAATTATAAGTCTTATTGAAATTAATCTTATTGAAAATAAGAAATTATAAGAATCACGTAACAATACGTTTATTTATAAATAATGCATGTGATCGAAAGATATTTATTTATTTTTTTTTTTTTTTATGTAACAATGCTCACGAATAACCAAAAATTGATAGAGCCAGAGCGATTGACATTCGTCGGATTAAGACTCGAGATTAATTCGGAATACATATATACGTGTCGCACAGAGAGATAAGCTTCAAGCGATTTTCCCAATGTTGCTAGAATGTAATATTTTCGCATATTATCGAAGGAATGTATTACCGATTGTATATTTATGTGATAATTCATGAGAGAAGGAAAGAAGAAGAAAGACATTTAGAGAGGAGAAAAAAATTTGTTCCCTTTTTTGCGTAAATCGAAGCGTAGCGTTCATGCGTCACTTCGCTATGTATTATATTTAGATAGATAGTCGTATGATAATAATTAATATATAAGTCGAATCTCAAAAATACGCAGGTACACGCATATTTTTCGTTTGTTCTATTTCCCTAAGTGTTCATTCGGGAGGAAAAAGGAGACTTTGCTTATTAAATAGGGAGAGAGGCGTGTAGGTGTGCGTAGATGCGCGCGCGCCTGTATGCGTATGCGTATGCACGTGTATGCGCGTACGCGTGTGCGTGTACGTACGTGTATGCGTATGTATGCATTGGTGCATGCGTGGATGCGCGCGCGCGTGTGTTTGCATTATAGGAAAAAAAAAATTTTTTGCTCAGTACCGTATCTAGGCGTGTTAAACTTTTTGTTTATACTTTGTAATGGGATTATCATTGACGGGACGATTTTATTTATATATATATATATATATATATATATATTATTGGGACGATCGACCGAGAGAATCCCCGACTCGCAAATATACACCACTCCGCTTGTCTAGAAATTCCCGTACAGTTTACTACTACGTTCCTATAGCCGTACACTGAAAATGTTATTGCGATCTCGTTTCAAATTCCTCATTCGTTAAAACTAACGCGCTACAATTCCGAAGTCAAAGGACAAAGTCGCCTCGTTTCCCTCGGCATTATATATAGAAAACACGAAGATCAAACTTTACGGCAAATAGATATTCTGAATTTTTTATTTATCAATTGTAATGGAACTAAAAGTAACGGATTTTAAGGGGTCGATTGTAATGGATGGCCGTCGCGATGACAAGCTCACAAAAAACATTAGCGATGTGTACGCGCGGTTCCCTACCTTCGCTGCCCCCAATTATGACATTGATACTACAAAATCATGGCTCTCACGGACGAAAGGCAAGAAATATTGAGAGTGATTCGTGCGCCCAATGTGTATGATTGACTCTCGTCCTAGTCGGCGAATGTGGATGAAAACTCATTTTTTGGTTTTGTTTCTGGAATGTACTCGGCGTGAATCTCTGCGCTCGGCGCCGCCATTCAATGTCTAACGACTCCATGGCCGCGGACCATCTATTTCTTCTCATCGACGTTAGGGATGACCACCTCCTGACGAACTTTGTGTCCCCGGAAGCTCGCCTGAATCTTCGTCGCGGCCTTGTGGAGATCGGGATCCGAGAGGTCGATGCCCTCTAACTCGCTCGCCGCGTTGGCCATCTGCGAAAAGATAAGATGGGGGGCAGATAATTAATATCGTTGATCGTCCAATTGCTTGGTAGGGGTGCTTTGCCTTAACGGCCGGGACAATCAAAATAACATTACAATTATGCAAATGCATGAATAATAAATACTCGGTCATTCAATTACGTGCAATATCGGTAGCTCTTTCGTGTCCTTGACAGTGAAATTTCATTCCCGGTACAACGAACACTACTAATGCCAAGCTAAACAAATATATATTGTGACATTGTTTTGTTTCTCTTTTTTGGTAATCTTTACTTTCAATATGAAATTTGTATCGTTTAAAGGAATGTTATATTAGTTGTTTGATGTTGTATAGGGACGTTACTATGCTTCCCCACATCCCTTTTCATCTCCAAATTCTTAATCTACAATCCGATAAGAGTCTACACGGATGTATGAATGAAATTGCTTAATGAATATTGTTTATCATTTACATTGTGCAAAAAATTCAATTATACAAATTAAATTTATATATAATTTATAGTACAATCTAATTGCACAAATCATAATTTGCTTGATAACTCTAAGATTATAAAAGACACGATTTATGAATACTTCAAGTTGAAAATATGTGCCCCTACTTAATTTAATTGAATATTTCAATATTCAATATATTAATAAAAGCATGGAGAATTTTACTAAATTTTAAAAATAATTATTAAAATATTCTAATAAATTATTTTTTTATATTTTTTGTGTAGAGGCTATGGGAATTTTAGAATCAGGAAATTATCTTTGCGTATCAAGGGTATGAAAATGTTGTAGTGGATCAAGCATATATAAATGCTATTGGGCATATGAATAGTTAAATCTTCGGAGTATATTTCAAAATATATGCGATTTTATATTAATTACATTTGTCGTTGTAATAAATATTTCTTTTAAAATATTTATTAAATAACTGTAAATTTCAGTTTTCTACCTACTATTAATGTCATACGTAGAGCATTTATTTCTACTAAACGAAGGTGAAAAAAAGAAAATAATTCTTTCCAAAAGTGACAAATAACATTAGACAATTAGATAATGTAATGTGAAAATAGAACGCAAATTTAGACGTAGAGAGTGTCGGGAACCCTATTCGGATTAGACGAGGATGAAGAGAGAGGGGATGATATTCACTAAGCGAACAGACTGACCGTAGTTCACTCACAAATTCCTTTATACAAAAGGACATAATTTTTTTTGCGAGTATAAGTGAATCCTAGAAAGCATTTTTGGAACAAAAAGCAAAATAATGTCCCGACCCTTTCTATCCTTATTTAATCCCTAAGATGTACATCTAACTTTTATTGCGACTTTCATTGCAGGCCGAAAAAAAAAATTATAACTTATATTTAGTAATACTAAATATACTTAATTAAATTAAAACATACTTTTATTTAAGTTCCATCATTAATTTATCAATATAATTTATATTAGTTTTTAACAGCAATCTTGCACAATTTAAATATCCTTCGATTTATTATTTTAAATAATGACTAAACGAAATTCTATTTTTACAAGTAATTTATCTTTAATGCCATACATACTAATACAATTACATTAATTTATAATTGAAAACACGAATATCATAATATTTAAATCAATATTAGCCAACATTAATTTATATAATTAATTGCTATCGAAGGAAAAATTAAATGTACATTGATATTTTTATTTGTATTATAATTAATATAATATCAGCAGAGTGTTTTTAGGTAGAAAGTTTATTATAACGTACATTTTTTTAAATTCATCGATTACATAATATACTATTCAATATACTTATAGAATAGCCTTATCTAATATACTAAATCACAATATATTCAATATACTATTCTAATATATTTATCAAAATGAGGGCACAGTGGATTAAATAAATGATTACATTTTAGCTTTGCAAACTATGTTGTTAATTTTCCAATTTTAGACAGTTTTATATTCTGTAAATATTCATAAACGAATTAATTAGATGATATTATATACAATACGAGATGCGGGAAATAAAAGAGTCACGAATGATAGAAATTTTAAAAATTAAATTTCATAAAGAAGATTGTTCGATTAACAATAAATTTGAATATCCATTTTTTTTTTTTTTTTTTTTTTGTTGTATTTTGTAGGCTTTCATTAAAAATATATTAAACAAAATATTCATATAAACATATTGAACATATGTAGTATTTTGATTGTATTATTGAAATTTCATATTTTATTTATATGCGATAAGTTAAAACTGAATTTATTATGAATCACTAAAAGCTAATAACATTATTAATAATATATCCTTATGTTTTTTTCTTAAATGAGTTGAGGTAGTTATAAGTTCAATTCGAATTTGCAATTACTTTTTTATAAATACACTCCTAAATCTAAATTTATAATTGCTTGTACTTTCCAAATATTAAATTTAACATTATTATAATGTTTCAAAAATATTCATAAAATATCCATAAAATTCACAATAAGGTATCATTTTTATTTAACATTATTTATGAAAATTGATTAATTAGTAAAGCGTGCTACGTTATGCAGAACAGTATATAATAAAATGAAATATTTCTTTTAAATATGTTATATTTTTTTTGTCCTAATCGCTAAATAAATATAATATATTGTACAAATAGAATTTTTAATGTAATTTAAGAGAGCTTCGCAAAGGTTCTATATTACATAATAAAATTTAATATAAATCATATTAATGAATATTATTTTCAAAATTCATCATTAAAATGATATTGCCGATATTATAAAATTATTATTTTAACTTGTTGACATCAAATGATCTTGATGGTCTTGTAAAATTGTACAATAACCTAATTAATTGATTATATATTAGTTTTGTCAAATTTAAAAATATCTTAATATACTTATTTTACACTTATTTAATATTTTAGTATTATATTAAATTATTAATTAAATTATTTAACGTGCTCTTACGGAACTTGTGTATAATTTAATTAAAAAATAACAAATAAAATATGTCTTCAAGTAGATCTATGTTGGATTTTAAAATTAATTTCATTTTAAAATTTAAATTACAAGATCTACATCTGAACTACTTTCTTTGTTATTACATTGTACATTTTCATACGTCATTTTCATTGAGCATTTTACGATGTAGGTTAGATGAAGTATATTACAGTAGTATCCCCTAGAGTGTCGAACTATTCCTCTTCCCCTCCAATTTCTCTTGCACATACATTTTCCTCCCTCCCCCCTCCCCCCTCTAACTTTCTTTTTTTATATTTTACCCTCGCAAAAATCAATAAGTCTATGTACGTTGTAAGGTACTGTATATTTTCCTTACCTTCACGAATTTTGCTAATACTTGAAAAAAAATCTCACCTACAGAGACGTGCTTTTGCTCACGGATGAATTTTCCACACTGCACAGTCTTCGTAATCTTATGCAGAGATGGTAACAATGACTCAAGGTAAAATAGAGTTATGAGTAAATCTTGTTTTAAGATATTCTTAGAGTATCGTATGTGAAAGTGTGCGTACGGCGGATATGGGACGAACAGAAAATGGATGAGGGATTGTGATCTTCATATACTATGAAAAATCGATTCCTCCTAGCGTATAAACCTCTTAGATTATTAAGGACATTATTATACGGAAGTTTATGCAATGCAAAAGTAATATGCGCGTATGCATGAATATATATGTGATTTTACTTGAATTTTCGATTTGCGTGCTTTTTTAAAGTAGTGTTCGTTCGTGCAGTCAATAGTTCTTCTTACAATGTATATGTATGCATTATTGTATTTTTTAAATTATTTAATCATGTATGATATTAGCTAGGGAACTTTTATTATCTACCTATTTCGAATGCTTAATTAATATTTATCTAGTGTTTCGCGTTTTGTTTAAATTATTTGCAAAATTGTTTTATTATTTGTAGATGGTAACAGTATTTGACTCATACTCATTCATAATGACCATGAAGGTATCTTGTTAATTTACATAAAAAATATATTATTCTATAAAATGCAATAAATTAGCTAAAGTTGCGTAGGAAATAAACTTATTGACGTATATTTCAGAGGCACTTGTGCACTTGTATGCAAGACGTAATAAACAATTGATTTAGAATCTTTTACAACACGTATGCAATAAAGAACATTCAGTTATAAATAATTGATTTGTTTTTAATAATAAAAATTTAAAACTTATCTATATTCTTATTTTGAAAAGTAATTAATTATATATCATACTTAATAAATTTACATGGATTTTTATTTATTGCGTAATTCAATTTATTTTTTAATACAATTTTGATGCGATTTAGATGCAATTTTTATAAAAAATATTTATATAATGAATTATTTTTATTATTAATACAATATATATATATATATATATATATATATATATATACACATATAATGAATAAATAAAAAAAAAGTTATCTTTTCGTTGCACATGCATGCGTACCTATAAAACTATGACAGACTATAACATAAAACTAGACACGAGCATATATATTTTTATATACGTACTTTGTCATTCGATATTATATTTTTTACAAATCCACATGATATTTAGAAAGAATAGAAAATAGTAGTGCTAATCCAATAAAATAAATACCATTTTAAAATTCTCTAAAACTAAACTTTGACCATATTCTAAAAATTTATTTATGTTATATATATGCTATAAGTTAAATAAATAATACTTTAATGACTTTTCTTCAGAAGACCTATACCTAATTGTTATAACCTATAAAATCGAGTAAAGTAGGCCAATCTACTACAGAACTAGGAACGTAACATTCTATATGAGTCTTAAAGTATTATATTCCACAGAAGTCTAACGCAAAATTTTAAGTAAAATTTTTTCTGTTTTTGTGTAACAATAATAAATAAATTGTAGTTCGAAGGCCTTGAACACTGATTATAGCGTTCACTTAATTGAATTAATTTGGCCGTTAAAAGCTTGTAAAGTTAAATTACATGTACTATTTCATATTCCACTATAACTATAATA